ATATATATGCTTCAGAAGTGATTACTGCGGTTTGTGAAAATTTTCATCGCTACAACTGTTGTATACACGTGAACATGCCGCATATCTTATATCTTATAAATTTATAAATCATAGTTTCGTAGCAACTTGTTTCACTTGCATTGACATTCTGGTTTTAATGTAGTTTCGGTACACTGTTGACAATTTTATTTGATATCAAAGCGTATTAGTAATCATCTAATTTTTACTGGCTTCTCCTTAAATTTACATTTGGAAGTTCTATAGCTTCTTTTGCTTATTTTCAGATCTGCTCATTTGAAGCAGTAACTAAGGGATATGAGGTGTTTGTTAGCGAAATACTTGTTCAAATTGACAGGCATGTCTCTAAATGTTTCTGTTGGTGCTGTTTTTTTTGTTCTAAGTTTTGTACTAAATGGATATTTGTAGCTGTTTCTCATAAGCTTCTGTTTTATCGTAATAATGAATTACTGGTAAATGTCACAAAAATCCATTAAGTTGACCTGCTTCGTTTCTTGAAGTTTCGTCATTAAAACTACCAAAAATTTTTTCTGTTATCTGCATACGTTTTTTAATATTAGCTTTTACAACTTCTCTATGCGCCAAATCTGCATTATTGAATTCATAGTGTTGTTTGTAGATATATGGTGCAACAGAGGGCTGTACAATTTTCAACTAATAATTTTGCATCTGGAACAAAAGTTGTATTTTTTTACAGTTATTAAATGAAGAAGAGAAAATGGTTCGTTCTGTTATGTCGAGTAGTCACAATTTGCATATTGGTCTCATTTTTGTAGCATGGTATTTCATTAGCTCAGCGTCCAGTGTCTTGAGCAAAATTACACTGCAGGTTGTTTTGCATTTTCGTCTATTTTTGATTATCTGTGGTAAGATAATTTTACATCTATAAGGTCACATTTATTCCTAGCTCAAACCTGCTTCATCACATGCTGCTTTGTTATGAATGTAAAATTATGAATATGAAGATGGAATAAATATCAGCTATGGTATATTTGTTGAAGTGAGCTTTACATTTAGAATTATCCGTATCCAATGACAATAGCCTTAGCATCTTTGTGTTGTGTGGATCTTTGCTCGACTCCTCTACTTCGAATATGGCGTGTCAAGCAGTCTATCATATCAAAGTATCACTTGACTTATTACATTATACCAATTTCGATTGGGAAGGTGATTGCTGTTGTTAGTGCATATATAAGTGTTGGAAAAGTATCGGTATCATATGTTCAAACGAGTTAGTTTATTTCGCCCTTAGTTGTATTATTTTTTAACGGCGCAGACAATAATATTGTGTGCCATCTGAATGTTCTTGACCTTTAAGATGTTTTTACAGTAAAAGCAACAATGCCGTTGTTTGCTGTTGTTTCGGCTCGAATTGTTTTGAAAGAGCGTCAGTCAAAGCGTGTTTATTTATCATTAATCCCAATAGTAATTGGTGTTACAATAGCAACAGTTACCGAGATATCATTTGATTTAGGTGGTTTACTGAGTGCTCTGTTATCGACTGGTATTTATTCGGTTTTGAACGTTTTCGTCAAAAAGGTTTTAATTTTGTGCTTGGCTTTTTAAAATTTGCATAAAAGTTCTGTAAGGGGTTATGATATCAGTTTGCAAGCTAGTGTATATTTGGAAAAATATTGAAGTTTGTTCTGTAGTTGAAAAATTAATGTAGTTTTTAATATTTTATCAGAAAAACATCTACTATAGAGTGTTACGGTCACAACAAAAGCAATGTTAATCCTGTTTGAGTGAATTAAAGTAAATCTTGACTTCGTGCAGATTGATACATATAAAAAAAATCTTGTACAGTCTTGTTATGGATTCCAGTGGAATTATTGAGTCTAGAAAAAGCTCCACATTGATCTAGTGCAATTTAAATGATACTTATTGTCTTTCGTATATGATGACAATATTGTCACCCCAGGTATTGGAAGGGACTGATATTCATCCACTTTATTTGCTCGCATTAAATTCCCGAATTGCTGCCATTTTGCTCTTTCCAATATGGTGCCTACATGATGGCTTAATATTGTGGCATGGGGCGGAAATGAGCGTAAGTTCTTGCATTTAATGCCTAACGTACGTAAACATTATCATGAGACTTTTTATTTTATTTTAATATTGTTCTTATATGAAAAAATATCCCTTGTTTTTGAATCATTTAGTTTGTGCTCCGTTTTAGGCAAGCTCTTTCTGGTAATGCTTTGTTTAACTCGTAGACACCGTTTTTTTTTTTAATTTATCCCAGCACTGCTTTATTCAGATCAATGAAAAATCACCTCACGAAATAAACTTCATCACTTATTTATTGTGTTCTGGTTTACTCTCGTTTTTACAAAATCTATGTGCCTTCACATTAATTAATCACCTATCTCCGCTTTCATATGCCGTTGCAAGTGCTGCAAAACGTACAACTGTGATATCAGCATCGTTATTCACGCTGCGTAATCCAGTTACGCTAACCAATGCTTTTGGCATGCTGCTATCTATATTTGGCGTTTTAATTTATAATCAGGTTAGGTCACTTATTACATTCTTTAATAACTTTTGCGAAGAGTTTCATACACCTAGTATTTTGCTTGAATTCAAAGCACAAAAATAATGTAACTTTCGTTCTTTTTGCCTTGTTCAAAATTTTGAGGATCTAATTTTAGATTAAGGAATATGATAAAGGATGCGATTTGCCTGGAACATGCAATGATTTAACTATATTTGTTGATTCAAAAACTCCTGTAAATGGCCGATTTATGAGTAATGGAAGCCATAAACCAGATTTGTTCAAAATTGAGCGGTTCCATATGGCTAGTTATTGATCCTGACGATATTTGATTTTAAGCAGGGAATCTAAGTTTTAAGTTAAAATAATTTTGTTAGTTATAGCAGTGTACTAGATCGGTCACTGTCTCGAGAATTTCACAGTTAAATTATTGAATTTTATTTTATTTGTCATGTCAATCTTTTTCTAGAAAATGCTATAAAAATTGCATGGATCTTCAACAGATAGACTTAATTTTTGAAAATAAAAATGCTTAAAAACAAAATCAGAAATTAATTTCATTTCTTCTCTCAATGAATATGCATGGGTTTAATATAAATTGTGTTAATATGCATCAAAATGTGTATGAAATATCCGGACAAAATTCATTTTTATTAGTTTTTGATGCAAAGTAAGTTTTATTTTAGTTTTTCACACTTTTTTGATTCATATCTTTGATACGTTTAACTTCCACTTTTCATTTTCTTATTTTTGCGTTATCTTCGAATTTTTATCATTCTTTCGTTTCATATCATTTTCATTAATCATACCGCAATTATTAAGTTTGAAATTGTTTTCGAAAGATTGTCGAAGGTACCACCGAACACTTCAACTTTTCACGAAGATACATTTCAGAAGGCGGTAACTCCCCACTGAAAATATTTGTCTGAAAGATAGAACTACAGATGTATTTTTCCATTTCATCTTTCATGCAATGTTTTTTACTCTAAAATCATTTATTTATGGACTTTGATTAGTTTCCAAGTGCGATTGGCTTATGAGTTTTTCCTGTCTCTTTGTTTAAAATTTAGTGCTGACAAGATGCTCAAGGACAAGGAAAAGAAACTAACATGTGCGGGAAATGTCTGTCTATTTAGAATAATGGATTTGCACATTGGCTTCTCAACTTCGTTTTGAGCTGTTTCTCTTGTAAGAGAAGAAATGCAGTGCTGAAGTTCGTACTGCTGGGAAATGAAAGAAACGTTGCTTGCCAGAAAATGCGTACGACAAAGTTCACATGTGATAAGTCAGGCTCATATTTCTCACTGAACTCTATTTGCATGATTTTATTTATCCGTATTTATTTATTAATTTATGCATTTACTAATTTATTTATTTAATTAGTCTATTGACTTTTTTGTATTAACTAATCTTGCTGACGAAGGAAGCAGACATGGTAAGTAGGATTAGTATTTTTGGTCACAAATTTATTGAACAGTTCAATTAATTAGGTTGCTTCAGAATTAGATATAAATAACAAAGAAAGTAAGTTCTCGTACTTGAGAAGGTATACTGCTTGTGTATGTGTTTTTGCATATTTCAAGCATCTACGACAAAGAACAGTAATAAAATAGAAAAGGTACAAATGGGGAAAATAGTTATAGCGCATGATAAGAAAGTCAACCGAGAGTGATTGGATGTGGGTACGAAGCAGAGCTCGTATTTGGATGAATAAGTACGTACTATATTTCGTATTGCAGATTGAATGAGTAGTCTAGAAATTCAGCTGGTTATGTTATGATTTTTAGACGGAATTCCGGTATGCTACCAATAATGTAAGTCATTGCCACTTTGTTTTCGCTAATTGTTCGTTTTTGAAAGAAAAAGCGTTATTCTACTGTGTTTGTGAGATTCCATTTTATTTCTGATAATAATGTGAATAATTTAATTACATTTCATAATCCATGGCTCATTCCTTTAATTTATTCTAACAAATTAAATTGTCTTTATTTGCTACGTTTAATACACTTATGATTGAAATTACTAAACTTCAACTCAAGATCTCTGTTCATTTATTATTTACTGCATTTATGTAGTTGTTGAGTAACATAGCGTTTGTATATCAGCTGTCTTTTGATAACGACAAGGGTAACTACAAAATATAATGACTGGTGATAAATTTTGCATGAAACATGTGATGACTGCTATAGGTGAGGTGTTGTTTGAAGTATTCGAATGTTCGGATTGAACGAGCATAAATATAATCGTGGCAAAGCCATCGTCACATTTGCCATTCTCTTTTGTGTTAAGAAAAGTTGGGTCGAATTATGCTACCAATTAAACGTTTCGAGAGCGAAAGAGGTATGCATGAATGGTGTACTTCCAAGGTTCTTCATCTCTCTGCAGAATGGCTTTTGTCATCAGCTGAACTAAGTGTTGAACTGATAGGGCTATGATGGGGTCGAGTGGTGATAATCTGATATTTTCATCAGCGCTGAAGTCCAAGTCTGTGACCTGCAATGCTTAGGAAGGGTACACCAAGTTTTAGTAAGGCTTGTGTGAATAACTGACTTTAATCGCAGAAAGTGAAGAGGCAGAAACAAAGATGAAACGTATGAAACATTTTGTCACAATCCATAATACAAAATTAGATGCAACCAACAAAAAGGTCGGCATTTTTCACATTCTTAGATTGCATTTAATTGAATCATGAGTTCATAGCTCTGCAATTCCTATCAATTGATTACATGCTTTATTTCACAAATAAAATATATTGGTTTCGAAGTCAAAATTGTTTACTTGATAATGTAAGAAGAAAAAACTGTACAGAATAATATCGTGTGTGTAAGCAAAGAATTGTAATTAGGAAATCCTAATTCAGCTATGACAATTCTGGCTTTCTAATACTGTAAAATTGCTTTTTACGATTAGAGCTAATTGGAGAGCCAAGAAAGCCCTATGCTCTTATAGAAGGTATTACACACAATTATACAATTACAAAAATAATTCTTCCCGGTAAATTAAACGTAAGCTCAGTATCACTTGCCTATAATTTCGGATAAAGCTTGTTGGCACTTATCACATTAAAAAAATCTCAACAATGAAGACCGGTCGTTGGAGATCCTATCATCTAAACATAACAGAAAACCCAACCATTGTTTGAAACTCAGCACATTTTAAACCTATGTTCTAACACTACCCAGGATATAGTGCCTGAATATTGATGTCATTCAACTTTTCCGATTTTGTCAAACAGTTTTACTCAGTCACAAGATTAAATAACCGATAATTAAAAAGTAATCGCTCCAGACTTGGGTCATTGCTGCGCTACTTCATGTTTTCGCGATAACTATTGTAATTATTGCAATAGTAATTACTATCGAAACAATGAAAACAAAAAGTTGTGAATATGGGCAGTGGAGTAAAGCAGTATGCCATAACATTACTTGCAGTCCACACTCCGTCCTACCAATTTTTAGAAAAAAGGTCCGATCCAAGTAAAATTAAATGAATTGTAAAATTAAGAAACCTTTTACATATTAGTGTACGAACCTTTTATTGAAATTCTGAGTTTCCGTACAATCCTAAAACACAAGGAAACTTCAGGTTAATCATAAAAGTTGGGTTTGTATTTGCAAACAAACTGCAATTTACCACCATTCTAACATCTCCACTTTCTTTAGACTTGTAACGGAGAATTGGAAATAATGCGTTCGTACTGTCATACAAAGTCGTGTCATGCATGGGATACGACTTTAGGCACATGTTTAGCAACAAAGGAACATGATGTTCATGGAACTCATTTTATAAGACTACCAAATAAAATTAAAATACCAATTGTCATGACATTTAAGGACTGTTGACCATATTCTTTTCAAGTTTTTGCGATATAACTAAAAAAATGCAGCCAGCCTTAAATAAATAGATAATTTTGAAAAAGACTGGTCGAGACCTCATGCATAAATAAACTTGAGAGTATCAATGGAAATCAGCCTTTTGTAGCTAGAGCTCGCTAATAAACTGTAAAAAAGCTCAGAAGAGTCCTTCTACATAACCACCGAAAATCAGAGTGAACATAAAAGGCATGTTCATTACTATCTTTCAACTCAATGCTCGAAGTTACATTCATTAATTAAATACAAAATGTCACATGACAGTAATACAAATTGGATAACAGAAGCAAATATCTACGAATGCCAAAATGCAGCCTCTGAACCACATATAAAGACTGGAAATGAAAGTAACATAGGATATTATCTCAAGCGGCAAATCCAATAATGCCACATGCAACACGAGCTCCAGCATTCCCAGTTTTCAGACTTTCTTCTTTTTTATCACCCATTCCTTTTCCAAGATCATCTTGATCGGCATGCACAACTACTGAGCGTCCAATTATAGAATGAGGGCCATGAAGCTAAAAATAATAAACCCATAATACTACTCATTTAACACGGTCACAACTCAAAATCATTTGCCCATTTCACTGTATTACCTGAATAATCTTATCAACAATACTGATAAATGCTGTTCCATCGCTTCCAGCTTCCACATTTCCAAGATCCCCAACATGCCTTACTTCATCCTGTAAAATACATTAAAATAAGAAAGCAACATGAACATCTAAAAATGAGACCCACTTATCAATACAATCTGTGGGAACAAGGCCACTGAAAAAATCAACCGTTGGACCGCCGTGTGCTTTGTCATAAGGATTAAAATGTGGGCCAGCAGAAATGCAACCATTTGTGCTGTCACCATACTGATGAATATGAAAACCATGCAGACCAGGTTTCAGTCCCTTAATCTCGCCAGTGATCACCGTTGGAGAATTTTCATTATCCTGCAATATCAACCTACAAAATTGTACCAGAACGCTGCAATGCACAAGACCATGCAACAAATTCAAAGGAAGAAACAATACAAATGAAATTGTAGCAAAAATACTTGTTTGAAATGGACTACTCCATTAACTTCCTCTCCACGAAGAACGGCAATCGCATTTTTTCCCATGTTCAATTCCAAACTGCAAATGTTTTCCATCAATTACAAGTGGAAGAAAAAACCCAAGAATATGGCAAAAAACTCACTGCAATCTAAATCATTCACCCTTCATACCTAAATCCATAAATGAAAAACAACCCGACACCACTGCCATATTCTAAATCGTTTGAGCTGATTGCTATTCAATACACCTAATTTATAACACTTTGACGTCCGCGTAGTGAAACACCGAACGGCTAGTCAGAGCGATAAGGATGTACCAATTTTAAAATTAACAAATGCACATTGATGTTCAGTTATAGTTTGTTAGTTTACAAGGGGATAAAAATAATAATTACAGTTATTTCTAAAATGATCCCCGAAAAAATAAAATAAATAAAATAAAATAAAATGTGAAGGTTAGTTCTAATTTTTGCTTTATTGATTCTGAGCTGGATCGCGTTGCGGGACTCTGGCAGTACTTGTCCTGCGCTCAGATTTGTTGGACTCATCATTCTCGCTTCATCGTCGTGAAATCCATATCGACTGTCGAAGGAGATGCTTTCGAGCGTCTTCTTGAAAACAATCGATTGGATGTATGCCTCGACGTAGTCTGATATACTAATCTCCCTTCGCATAGCGTTTGTGGAAGTTCGTTACAATCCCATCCCAAGTCATCACATACGAAATTATTTTGGTCCTGCATTTCATCTCTGACACAAGCTTATTAGCAAGCAGGTCATATTTTCGCTTCTTCTCGGTCTCGACTGCTGTTAACCTGTTCTAACTAGTGATGCCAAACTCAATCAGCATTACTTCACGTCGCTTCTTATTGTGTATCATGATATCTGGTCAATCCGCTTTTATTCTGACTCCAGTTATCACTCGCGTATCGACTCTAATCTCAACATTCCCATTCGCCACGACCTGGGCGGGCGAACGCAAGCGCGGGATTGCTTTCAGACCATACTTCTTGCAGAGTCCCAAGTAGATGCATCGTAGGACTTCATTGTGTCTTCATTGACTTGGCGGGACTGTGTATGACAACTTATCAAAAATGCCCGCCGCTTGGTTTACCGCTCCAAGTATAGCCGGTCAACTATCTCTGAGATTATTTTCAGCGTTCACTTTTGTCTCCTCTATCTCACGTCCTTCTGCATTGTACATCAGTACAGGGTACTTCTCTTCTGCTTTACGTATAGATAAGTCTTAGACTCATGTGGCGCATTTTCCTTGAAGTAACTGTCAAATACCTCGACACGCTTTGTTGTTTCCTCTAATAACCGCTCCTGCGAGCACAGACGACCTGCAATACTGGTGGCTGCAGCATTCGCTTGTTTCAGTTCTTGAAGGCTATTTGTTCACACGAACTACTTGCAAGACAGGAATCACAGAAAGGTCATCACCCTATCGGCAGATTCCGAAACGGTTCAGAACTCCTTCAGTACTTCACATGGTCAGCTGCTTTGCGGAATTTTGATTCCTCGAATGTTAGCTTCAAGCTTAATCATTCTGCTAGTTATTGGTCTAGGCAACCTGGCTAAGTCCTATCTTACATCTTTCGGAGTTTTTTACAACCTCATTTGTCGTCCCATCAGTTTCTGGTATGATTCCAGATGCTGTTTCTCTCCAATCATCCTCCATTTCATTACCTAACATTTGATAGACTGACTGTACGACCGCACAGCATTCTTCTTTTCAGATTTGCATTGGATATTCGTTCTGCTGGATATCATCATACTTTCTCATTCCGAAGTTCCACATCGTACCCCCAAAATCCCTGATTTCTTCAGTCCTTACATTGTGGCTTACGGACTGTTCTTCAGGCAGACTTCTATAAAACCGTCTTCTCAAATGCTCGAACCTGGCGTTTTGTATTTTGAGTGCACATTGGGTCTCAGAACTTTTTATTTTAT